CCGCGCCGATGATCTCTGTCGCGCGGGCAGCAGAGAGGAGCTGGCTGCCTCGACGCAATGCGGCACGAGTGCTATAACGCGACAGTGGAAGCCACGGAGCCACCACGGAGGCCGAGGGTGAATAGCGGATCGGACGGGAGAAGGGCATGAAGCGACATGGACGCAACCCGTTGGACGCGGGTACACTCCAGGATAGAAGGGGAATGGCATCAGGGACGCGCGGACAGCCGAATATACAAGAGTGGGACGGCATCTGCATGCGCTGGTTCGTGATCCAGCAGCCCAGCCAACTACGCAGCGCGATTAGGCTCCAAGCCATCGGGGCAACATTTAATGGTGCTTGCAACTCACCAAAACTGCCAAACTCTAAACACGGGCAGAAGCGCTTCCTCACCCTCGTCCTGATCCGACACGCGAGGCGCTCACTAGAAAGAACGCTCGGTCGAAACTCCCCTGGAACCTACCCTGCCACCCGGGACGCCAACGCTCAACCCCGGGCACGCCCGCGCGGAAGAAGCCAAGAGCCTCTACGCCACCTCTCCGCAGAGCTAGGGCATATCTGCGAGCCGCGCATCTGGGTCGAGCACCCCGTCGCCCGGCACCTGCAGGGGAAGGTGGAGGGCACGGGAACCCAGGCGAAGTATGCTCCAACGCCCAGGCAATCGAAGGAGATTCTAAAGAAAAACGGGGGGGCGAGTTTGTCGCTATCCCACCACGCGGCAGGCCCCCTTTTCCACGACCGCCCGACGCAACCTCGCAACCTGGACTTGCCACGTGGAGAGAGCGAAGAGAGCCGACCGCACGAGGGAGGCAGAACAGAGGGATAGAATACTTTTAAGCTGAGGACCGCCCCATTCCGACAACTGCAGCCGCTCTCCACGCCCCATGCTGATGCTCGGAGCACGCCAGAGCTGCACGAACAGATGTCTCTCGGCAACTGCGAGCCGCCTCGGAAGAGGGAAGAGCTGAGCCTTGCACCCCAGCACAGGGAGCCGACGCTCGAGGTAGAGCGAGACATTCTTGGAGAAGGACGCCCCGCTCGAGCCAACGAGGGCCACTCGCTCCTTGAGCTTGGCCAAGGGAGGCCCCCATTGCTGCTGCAGGGCGCCGCTGGGCCCGAGGCGGACTCCGAGGCACGGGGGATCGCCAACAATCTGAAACTCGCCCGAGGCCGACTCAGCCCTACAGGGGGGCATCCCGAGGCGCCTCCGAAGCAGAAGGATCAGACAACGGAGCTAAGGGGAAAGGCCATGCACATAGACGCCCTCAACATTAAATCAGCGAGCTCCGGCGCAAGGCGGAAGACCCGAGCAAGCACCCCGCGCCCCTCCGCCGCCGCGCCACAGCCCCCACACCGCCCGCGCAAGCTCGGGTGCCTCCACGTCGCTTGCAATCGATACTCTGAAACAAACGGCCAAAGAACACGTTCGAGGCCAGAACACACAAGGATCCCGAGAGGGGGCATCCCTTGAGGGCCCCTGGAAACATCACATTGATCAGGCATCGGGCATGATCGACTTCGCTGTAACGGGGCCGGCAGCAAAGAACACACCGATTGCACGGGCGAAACCACGCGGGGGGGGCCGCGCGCGCATACACATGGGCATCCATTCCTGCCGCGGAGGAGGGAAGGCCTGAGCGTAGTCTAAAGATAAGAGGGCAATAGGGACGGGTGGCCAAGTGACGACAGCGCTGAGACTGGCAAGACGAACAGGGCTGCCGATATCAACTATGTCATTGACAAAACGTCGGCCAGTAACGAAGCCTCTTTGATTAACGACCCCAAGCCTCTGCACAGCAGGAGCGATGGCACGGTTGATGGTAGCACCCACAGTTCTGTTCGCCGCGCTCCTCAGGCCGAGCGGGCGAGCGTCGCGGGCAGCTCGCACGAGGCCATCGAGAGACTCCGAGCCCCCTGCAATAGCCTCAGGAAGAAAGACGGCGAGGGGCAGAGAAAGAGAGAGGCATGGGAGGGCCCTGTAGCGCCCAACACAAGAGATCGAATAGGATTTCGACGACGCTCCAAGCAACGACACCCCCACGACGGAACTGGACTGGACCCCTCGAAAAACGGACCCCAATACTTGGCCAGAGCTGCCACTGACTCGGCTTGCCCCGAGCGGACGGACGGTCGAGCAGCCCCTTCGGCCGCGCCACCACCACCAATCCCCACTCGGCGGCCCCGTCACAGATGCTGAATACTTACGGCGACCGAAGAATTCCGAAGCTGAGCGCGTCGACAAACCGCCCGCTTCCCACCGAGAACCCGCGCTCGCCGCTCAGGACAGTTTACTTCCTCAGCTGCTTCCTTCTCAATGTGCTAGCGCCTCTCCGCGGCCTCCCGCTGTCGGAGCGCTCGGCAAGCGATTTGATCACAGGTGCGTGGTCACGAATGACAGCCTTGCAAAGCTCTTCAGGTCCACCGAACACGCGCAAGGATTGGAACCCTTGGTACAGCAGCCACGGAGGCGAGGCAAGGAAGCAACGGTCAACTTTCGCGCAGGAGCGCGCACCCTGGTGCCAGCTCGTGGGGAGGTCGCCAGCAAGCTCCGTAAGCACCCTGAAGGTCGGGCGCCAAGCTCCGCCCCCAGGGCGACCGCCTCTCGCTTCGACTCTGGACGTCCCAGACTCGCGATCGCCGTCACAAATACTGAAACCCCCATGAAGTACGAGCCCAAAGTCGAAAGGCGCGACCCGCACCATCACGATCGGAAACTTGATGCGTTCACGAGCCCGTCGGATCCCGCCCTGGCTCTGATCAAAATTGTAGGCGCTCCAGTGCCAGAGTCGGAAGCCCGAGGAGGTGTTCAAAATTCTAAAGCCAAGATTCCCCCACTGACACCCGCATCGAGTAGCTCCGAGACCCCAAGAGGGGCAGAAAGAGAAGAAGGAGGGGCCAGCGTGGCGACACCGCCCGCCAGCGAGCCCTCTGAATAATACGCAAAAACGCGGCGCTGTAACCCCGCTCGCTGGGCGGCCTCCTGAACGGCACGGGCCCCACTGTGAGCCACCAAGAACACGAGAGGAGGAAGAGGAGGGCGAGGCCGCGAGATCGCTCAGTACCATGAGGCGTCGAGCATACGCATCACGTCGGTGGCGGCAGAGAGCACGACAGCTCCACGCTGCAATTGTCGCCGACGATGATCCGAATATAGCGTTGCCCACCCCACTGAATCTGCACTCTGGAGAAGATGCGGTCAGCCGCGGGGGCCAACTGCACGCGCTCCAAGCCGACGCCCGCCAGCGACGCCACGTTCCAGCGGACCCTCGGCGGGTCGCACGGGTGCACCTCCACCTTCGCAATGGGCTGCCACTGCATGAGAAGCGCCCCCGCCTCCCTGTCCACAAAGACGTCCTTCTGCAAGAGGCTCGAGAGGGAGGTTTTGAGCTGCTTGCAGGCGCGTTCCCTGGGAATGTCCTGCTTGGTCTTGTCGAGGCCAACGTATATCTCCACCACGCGGTCGCCAGTGATGGCCGTCCGAAACCTCCTCCATCTGCCAGGGCCCTCGCGAAGGCATGAATGCGCATGGCGTACGCGAGCCTTCGCAGTGAGGCGCGTATCGCCCTCGCCGATGCCGAAGCGCAACACGAAGCTCCTGGACGACTGGGGGCCCTCGACCCTGCACTCGCGTCCCAGCTGGTAGCCGCATTCCTCGAGCCATGGTTGCAGCAGTTGATGGCGAAGATGGTGTAGTCTCTGGGGCGATCCCAATCCGCAGACCTGGCCAGGGAAGATGAGGAGGAGGAGAAGGAGGAGGACCAGTGTAAACCCAAGAGTCATCAACGATGTTGGAATTAACCCTCCCTCCTAGCTCCCTCTTCATAGGCCCCTACAACGGTTCATTTCCATTGAGGGGACGGCCTCGCTGGAAGACAACCGTTTGAAGATCCTGAAGCGTGCCCAAACATTGTTCTCGGGGTTTCAACGCCACGTATCAACCGGACTGCTGCGTCTTGACGATCAGGAATCATGCCACAACGTCATGTTTGGGACTTCAGCACCGCGAATCAACATAACTGTTGCGCCCGCACAATCCTGAATCCTTCCAAAAACACCATTTCTGGTACGCTGATGATGGAAATCCGTCAAACTCTTACAACTGTTTAAAACGAAGGTGCGCGGCGCTACGGCGAGAGCCACATGTTGAAAAAGAACCGCCCTCAACCAGTGAAACTATTCCAAATTATAATAACGAATGCGCGCGGCGCTAAGGCGAGAGCCACATGTCGAAAACGACACGCCCTCAATCCGTGAAACTCTTGCAAATGTTGACAACGAATGTACGCGGCGCTACGGCGAGAGCCACATTTTGAAAACGACCCGCCCTCAACCAGTGAAACTCTTGCAAATTTTGACAAGGAATGTGCGCGGCGCTACGGCGAGAGCCACACTTTGAAAACGACCCGCCCTCATTCCGTGAAACTCTTGCAAATTGTGACAACGAATGTGCGCGGCGCTAAGGCGAGGGCAACATTTGGAAAACGAAGCGGCCCGCCCTCAATCCGTGAAACTCTTGCAAATGTTGGCAACGAATGTGCGCGGAGCTAAAGCGAGAGCAGTATTTTGAAAACGGCCTGCCCTCAATCCGTGAAGCTCTTGCAACTTGTGAAAAAGAATGTGCGCTAAGGCGAGAGCCACATTTTGAAAACAACCTCCATCTATGAAACTGTTGTCACGGTTTAAGCTTCAGAATCCATAAATGGTGAGGAAGTCTCAGGCGGAACGCCCGGCCCGCCCTAAAAATTAACCTCGGGGTGCGACAGGGAGCAGTTATCTACAAGGAGAAGGAATGGAGGAGAAGGAGCGGGAGGAGGAGGAGGAGGAGGAAGAGGAGAAGCAGGAGGAGGAGGAAGATGGGAGGAGGAGGAGGAGGAGGATGAGGAGGGCAAGACAGGGGGCACCTCGGCCCCACGTGGCTCCCATACCTGGGCCAGGCAGAGAAGATCGGTGGACCCCCGTTGGCACTTCCGCCCATGGCGTGAGCCCCGACTGCCAGAACCTTCTTCTTGCCGGTCGCGAACGCGTCGAAGAGCCACCTGGCGATCCCATCGCGGGCGGTCGCGGAACCCGCTGCGGACCCCTCCCGACAGGATCCGCTCAAGATCGGTCCCCAGACCAATCCCAAGGAGAACCATGGCCAGTGTTTGATTCCGGATCGATCTCTGACCGCCCTGGCTCTCGAAGCGATTCTCCAGAGGCTGATAACGAAACATATCCTCCCGCACCTCGAGCATCGAGCCCCCTCCCCTCCCCAGACCGCCACACTCGTGTCTCGCTCGGTGGACTCCCAGAAGTCACGGCACCTTCCTGGACCCAGCGCTTCATCCCGAGTCGTGCCACCGACGGCCCCGCAGCCTGGCCAGGCCGCAGAAAATGCCCCCAAAAAGCCTTCCGTCGCGAGGCCTGCTGGCGGCTGGCACTGCCGTGTCCTGCGCGTGCTGCCACCTCCTGGTGCGACACGGGAAGGTAAGCAAAACCGCCGGCGAGCAGACGCAGAATCTCAAGATCGGCCGCCGTGGTGCGCTCTCACCAGAACTTCCCGAAGGCATCCGGCCCTGGGCGACGAGGGAGCACCAGCAGGCCCGGGAAGGGCAGAAGGCGTCCACAGACTCCATCCACCCTCGCTCTGGGAGGGCGCCAACGGCACGCGCCTGTCCCCCTACAGGCCGATTTCCAAGGAAAAATTAAGGATAGTCACATGATTCTCAAAAATTAGCCCCTCCCCCCCCAAAAAATACCCGAAAAATAGTCCCCAGACTATTTTGTCGACTATTTTTGAATTTCCCCCTGTCGAGGGACAGGCCTGGCTTAAGACTACACTGATCCTCGACAGGCCCACCCCAGGCCCAGATCGCCGCAGGTCACAGTGTCCCGGCAACGAGCGTCGCAGCAAACGCCATGAGAGCGCTTCCGGCTACACCTAGTGACACCTAGTTACACCTAGTTACACCCAGTTACACCCAGTTACACCTAGTTACACCTAGTTACACCTAGTTACACCTAGTTACACCTAGTTACGCCCAGTTACACCTAGCTACACCTAGTTACACCTAGTTACACCTAGTTACCCTCAGTTTCCCTCAGCTGCCCGAATCAAGGCATGACGCAATCAGTCTGAATCGGAGTGCAGGCATTCGAACCTGGAACCTCGGTCCTCGATCCTCGCCTCCAGGTCGGGCTCGTCCTGCCAACTCATCTTCGTCATCATCGCCACCATCACCCGCGTCCTCCTCCTCCTCCTACTCCTGTTCCTCCGCTTCCTGCTCCTCCGCCTCCTCGTGGAAAACCTCAAAGAGGAAATGTTGTATGAACGTTGCTTGTTATACAGAGTTTCCCCTATCATCGTCATCGTCATCGTCGTCACCAGCATCGTCGTAATCGTCAACAACACCATCACCATCATCTTGACCGTCACCGTGGTCGTCGTCAACATCGTCGTCGGCATTGTCAGCATCATCATCATCATCATCATCATCATCATCATCATCATCATCATCATCATCATCATCATCATCATCATCACCATCATCGCAATCATCACCATCAGCACCGCCGCACGCGGCCACAATGGGAACAACAACAATGATAATGATCCGAATAATGCTGACGATCAGACTGACAGTTGTGACGTTGCGGCCGAATGATAATAATACGAGCTGCATGCATGCATAACTGAATGAATAGAGAAGTAAACAAATGAATCAATACATAAACAAGTGAATGAAATAGAATGGATACTGCGAATACTAATAAACGATTATGGTATGGATGATACTGATACGAATAATAGGATCGACATCAAAAACAACAATAACAATAACATTGCTGATGATAAGAAATAATAAAAACAAACGTCGATGTTAACAATAGTGATAGGACTCGTGATACTATGAAAAATGATTAGAATGCAAATACTAATCATCATCAGCAGCAGCAGCATCATCACCACCATCATCAGCAGAATCACCATCAGCATCATCATCATCGTCAGCAGCAGCAGTATCGTCAACATCATCCTCATCATCAGCATCGTCCTCATCATCAGCATCACCATCATCAATCGTATCGCTACGATCGCCGATTGCAGCGATCGCCGATTCCGGCGATCGTATCGATTGCGTAGTATCGCTACGGCAGGCGAGCCAGAGGTGGCCCTCGTCCAGGGTGTCGCTGGTTGTTCGCGCCATGTTGGAGCTGCTGGGGGCCCTCTGGGCCTTGTGATGGGGTCCAGAGGATACCTGAGCCTCCCTGAAAGAAAGTCCGGGCCACCGTGGGCCAGGGCCACCCATGGCAACACCTAACATGACAAGTGGACAACATCCGCGGCGACACAAGCAGAGCATTCTACTCTGAGCGGACAGAAACTGCTGTTGGCCTGCATCCCGACTCGTTCTGTCCTCATTCCTGTCGCCCTGAACCATTCCATCTTCTCGGCGGGTCCCCCCTGGCCGCCTTCCGCCAGCCTCTGACCAGCTTCCACCAAAAGAATCGCCGCCGGTTTATTTCCATCAGGTTCCGCTGGAATTCCATCGGTTTCCGACGATGAGGACATGAGCCCCAGGAGAGACCGTTTCTGGAACGCGCAGTTTGGGCTCCCTTGACACCTCCTTCTCATCCTCCTCCTCCTCTTCCTCCTCCTCCCCATCATCATCACCACCATCCATATCAGCAGCAGCATGAGCATTGCCATCTTTGGCAGCATCATCATCAGCAGCATCAACACATTCAACACCATCGTCATCATCATCATCATCATCAGAAGCGTCATCACCATCAGCATCAACATCAACAACATTATCATAATCGTCGTCATCATCATCATCATCATCATCAGCATCCTCATCATCATCACGAGCTCATTATCATGATCGTCATCAACATCATCAGCAGCACCAGCATCAGAATCCTCACCATCAGCATCATCAGCATCAGCATCAGCATCATCTGCACCAGCATAGCATCATCAGCATCATCATCATCATCATCATCATCATCATCATCATCATCATCATCATGATCAGCATCATCAGTATCAGCATCATCATCATTATCGTCATCATCATCATCGTCCACCAGCATCATCATCATTAGCATCATCATCATCACAGTCATCGTCATCAGCAGCAATAGCAGCAGCAGCATCATCGTCATCATCGTAACCAACAGCAACATAACCATCCACCCGCAGCATCATCAGCACCATCATAATCCTCCTCATCATCACTAGCATCATCATAAGCATCATCAGTTGTGAAAACAGCATCATGATCGCATCATGATCAACAGCAGCAGCAACAACATCATCATCAGTATCATCAGCATCATCAGGAGCATCATCGACTTCATCACCATCATGAGCAGAATCATCAGCACCATCATCAACACCATCATCAACACAGCATTTTCAGCATAATCATGATCATCATCATCAGCAGCAGCTTCATCTGCATCAGAATCATAATCAGCATCACCATCCGCATCCTCATCCTCCTCCTCCTCATCATCAGCATCATCAGCATCGGCAGCAGCATCAGCATCATCATCAACATCATCAGCATCAGCACCATCATCATCATCATCATCATCATCCTCATAATCATGATCATCATCGTCATAATCAGCATCACCATCATCATCGTCATCATCAGCATGAACAACATCATCATCATCATCATCATCAACAGCATCAGCATCATCATCAGCATCATCATCATCATCATCATCATCATCATCATCATCATCATCATCATCATCATCATCCGCATCATCATCAGCATCGTCGGCATCAGCAGCAGCAGCATCAGCATAATCGGCGGATCCTCTTCCTCCTCCTCCTCGGAACAATCCTCCTCTTACGATCCCCTCCCTACGAGGCGGGGATGTGCGCATATCCACTGCCTGGGGAACTGGTGTCCTGTGACCCCCAGGGGCCCGCGAACTTCCCGGATGTCCCCAGACATCAGGTCCCGCGGCGGATGTGCATCAGTTCTGTCCTTGGCATCCTCCTCCTCCTCCTCCTCCTCCTCCTCCTCCTCCTCCTCCTCCTCCTCCTCCCCCCTCCTCCTCCTCCTCATCCTCCTCCTCGTCCTCCTCCTCTTCCTCCTCCTCCTCCTCCTCCCCCTCCTCCCCCTCCTCGGCGAACCCCACCCGATCTCTGGGCACCACGATCGGCACGGGGTCCCTGGCATGACCACGATCGGCACTGGCGACACGATCGGTCTCCGCGGCACGGCCGGCACGGCCCCCTGCGAACGAGCGGCACGCGCGCGGCACGGGCACGACACGCTCGGCACGGGGGAGGAGGGGGAGGAGGGGGACGAACACACATGCTGGCAAGTATTAGGCTGCATGCCTGACTTTACCCAGTGGTAAGACTGATGAGAGTGATGAGATAATAATGATAATAATGATAAGAATGATAAGAATGATAAGAACGTCAATAATAATGGTAATAATAATAATAATAGTACTAGTAGTAGTAGTAATAATAATAATAATGCGAATGATAATAATAATAATAATAATCATAATAATAATGCGAATGCTAATAATAATAATAATACTAACAATAATGATAATAAAAAATACTAATAATAATAATAATAATAACAATAATAACAATGATAATAATACGAGTGATAAGAATGATACGACTTATACGAAAAGAATGACTATAATCATGGTCTCATGATCATAGACATCACAACTACGGATAATACTTATAGAAAAATACATATGATACGAATAGGGATGCGAATACGAATGCAAATACAAATACGAGTGCGAAGAGCAATCACGAAAACAAGAAAACAATACCAAATACAACATAACCATCTGTGTTATGACGAAGAGGGCGAATAATACGAATAAGAAAAAAATAATCATGTAAATATAGGAAAATAAGAATAAGAAGAAGAAGAAAAAGAAGAAGAAGAGGAAGAGGAAGAAGAAGAAAACGAAAAAGAAGAAGAGGAAGAGGAAGAAGAAGAAGTAGAAGAATAAGAAGAAGTCACAGTCCTGACCCCCTGTCGGGCGCCTGGTGT